TGATTAGATGGTACAAACATCCGGGCACTAAATGTATTTTACATCAATCCTCCTCTGATGATTTATTACTATGACTATCATATTACTAACGTTATAACTGTAATATTATTTTTTGAGAGAAAAATTGTATTTCTCACAGATTTAAGCCTCAATTTAAGTTGACGCTATGCATTCAACTGAGTTTATTGATTTTCATTTATGGACAACTAACAATTACTTCTAGTATGATATTGAAACTATCGTTATACATCAAGAAAAAACTAAGAAAGGTAAACAGTACAGTACATTTACATAGTATAGTATGTATTATTGTAACTGATAGCAGTAGTCATGAATTACATGATATCATTATATGACCAAGGTTATAACAAAAACAAAATATTATTGCTATTTAATAATTATCAGTATAGGGGTTGTGGAACTTATTAAGCTTCTGATTGAGATCATGAACCGATTAATGTTAGATCCCTATTGAAAACCTGGAAGCACTGGACGGGCATCTCGTCCTATTGTCGGACTCTTCAGCAGTACGCATCCACGACTCCGCTTGCGGGATTTGAACCTGGGGCATTCAGTCACGCTCGAGAACACTTAACCCACTGGGCTATTGAGCCTGGATCCAGTGGTGTTAGTGTCTAACCTCAACCAATCCACGAAACTGCGCAACCATCTTCTATTGTACTGAGGTAGATACCTCTCTCTACTCGACATGGATTAGCTTAACTGGTCACAGCTTCCCACTAGAACTCCGAGTTGAATTGATGAGTAAATTGAAGCTAGACAATCACGGAAAACCTTGAAACACTGGACGGCCGTTTCGTCTTAGTATGGAACACATCGGTAGTGTGCATTCTAGAGAGAAGCTGTGATCAGTTTAGTTCAACCGGGTCTGTTGTGAGATAGTAGCTCACTGATGACAATGGTGGACGGTGGTGCGATTTTGTGAACTGGTTGAAGTTAAACAGTAACACCGTCCGATGCCAGCTGACCCAGTGGTCTAAAAGTTAAGCGTTTGCGCGTGATACCGATACGTCATGGGTTCGAATCTCACGAGGCGGGATCGTGGACGCACACTGTTGAGGAGTCTCATTCTAGGACGAGACGGTTGTCCACTGCTTCCAAATATCCCATGGTGGTCTGACTTCAATTGACTCATGAATCCAACTATTAAAATCACTATCATATCCACAAAACCCCTCTCTCATGCTCACTCTATGTTTGACTATCCGCAGGGTTATGAGTGAACATTGGTTAAGAGTTCCAAACTACGACGATGTAATTGTCTATTATCTCTTGGTTTTCAACATATGTTGAACTGTGGTAAATTTTCAATGTCCACCGTGAAATTCAACAATCTTCACTAACCTATAAATTGATATACTTTAATCTGAGTTGTTTTGTAGTTTGCCGGATTTTTAGTCATGAAAAATGTATGTTTATTATTATTATTGTTATAATTCTTATTGTTGTCATTGTTATTATCATTATAACTTAATGTTAAGATTTTAAACTGGAATGATAATTTTGACAATAATTTTAGAAAAGCTATTGTCTAATGTTATGTGAATGGTTCTATCCTTTACAAGTAGTTTAAATGTAAGTATTTGTGTCTAAACTAAACTACTTCATCTAACATAGCTGAGAATCGATCCTAATGGCGTAGGTGTATACATTCTCTATCTTCCCTTAAACTGTGAGATGAAAATTGTTATATGCCTTTCTTTCTACGAACTAGATCTTTCTTCCTGTATTATATTCTTGTACACAATCTTTCTTTTATATATTACTACGATTGAAGTAACTACTTCTATGAATTTGTTATTCATCTTGTTGTGTTAATGAGGTTTAGCAACAGTAGATTTTTGCTGATACTCCCTGTCTAATGGATCCGTAGTACTTTACGTAGACAACTTTTAATAAACACTTGTATCTTCTGGATGATGGTTTTCGTAAATCTCCAAGTTTCCACCCCTTTCAGTAGAACTGTCTTGACATTTGTATTGAAAATTCTGACTTTGGTATTGGTTGACAGTTGTTTTGCGTTCTAGATAGTCTTCAGTTTTAGATATGCTGCTCTTGCTTTGTTAATCTGCGCCTTCACAACTGCGTCAGATCCACCGTACTCATCAGTGATGCTGCCTAGATAGGTAAAGGTGACTTAGTAGTTCAGTGGAAGTGCAAGATACTAGGTTTGACTCTCTGTGAATAAACAACAACAGTGAGTTTCATATAAATTTAGCGGATGTATACCAAATAGAACGAAGTACTTACCCTGAATTTTTCTACTAAACACTATCTAATATTATGAAATGACATTTATTTTAATCCTTAAAAATTACTATGTATCAATAATTTTTCCTTAATAATAATTTATACTAACTCCAAACTAGAAGTATGTAGCTAATGTACAGAGGTAGTAAAAAACAATTATCACTTTGATACGAACTCAACACATCATAGAATGTTACTCATTTAATGTCTTGTTTCTACAGAGCGTGTGAAATTTCAAATATATTCTTTTACACCCTATTTTCCGAGAGTCTGTAAATAGATATCTTAAAATTATGTTTCTATATTACTGAAATCTTAGGTATCAGTTAAATATATGCCTTTCTTTGATAAAAAAACAATCATTTTCCCTATGTAATTCCAGTATTTTTAGTTAACATGACGAACTGTGTTTAGCTTCTTAGAACTTACTAGTTTTCAGTGGTTGCTTAACTATGGTCACTTCATGTTGTAAACTAAAGAAAATTCGACAACCTCTACAAATTCAAAATAATAAGTCCCTTAGATAAACGTGGATAATACAATTAGAAGAAACAGGTTATCAGACATATAAAACATATTTGTACAATACATTTCGAACACTTTGATGCCACATATTCTGTTTAAGACATTTTTCATACAAAACAAAAAAAGTCAATAGTTAGGCGTTAAGTTCTTTTTACATCAATGTGAAGTACAATCTTATGCGGTTTACCATTATTGTTATTTTCACAATAGAAACAAATTAATTGCTGAGCTGTTAATTTTTTTTGCATTTTATACTTTTACCTAATATCTGTCTATCTATGAAGCAAGTATTTATGTTGCCATGGGGAATATTTTTTTGTACTTCTATCCAACTAATACCATTCTATGTCATTTTCTACCAAACGGTTGATAACTAGTCTAATTACAGCTTTTTGGATAATATATATGCTACAATAATAATGATATGAATTTTGAATTAGATTTTTGTTTGATTAGTATTGGGTAATGGAAAGCATTGTAGTCTCGAACGCTCGTTTCATCCTATTCGACATTTTTCAGAGAGATGTACCCAGATATTAGTGATGGTCAAACCGGAACTCAAACTCAATATCTTGTGAATATCTCACAATAGTGAGGTAATCCATTAGGAGCTCGTATATATCAAAAATTAGTGATTGGCTGCAATCCTTGTTGTCGATAGGTAGAAGTCAGGTTTTAATATTTAAAATATTTAAAAGCAAGTCTTTGAACATTTATACATTTAGGCTTTCATAATATTTGCTATCATTTATAAGTAGTATATATACTGAATTCATTATTTGACTTTAAAAAAAAGAACATTACAGTTAACGTAATATTCTATACACATTATAGTTGTTCTTTAAACAATAAATGTCCAAGACATATTTTTCAAAGACTGTATTGTGTATTCATTATCCAGGATAAAAATATGGCATAACCTAAGTTGTTAAAATTTTCTTTCATTCGTTTATAAAGTACACTTTGATTTGTCGATGATTTCCAGTTATAAAAATCTTCAATTGATGTAAACTCTGTAAGTTTCTTACGGTTACTAAGTAATTCATTTTGTTAAGTTTGGAGTTTCAAATAATTATCCTTTTATCTTTTTATATCTTTGATATTTAGAATTTTCACTTGTTGAAATCATGAGTCAATTGAAGCTAGACCACCATGGAAAACCTGGAAGCACTGGATGGCCGTTTCCATGGTGGTCTAGCTTCAACTGACTCATGATCTCAACCATTGAAATTACTATAATATCCGCAAAACCCATCTGATATTAATTTGAACTATGCTCACTAGTGACTAGCTTCAAGAGGTATGTTCTGGAGTTCTAGTGAGAAGCCATGACCAGTGGAGTTCAACCAGGTCTCTTGTGAGATAATAACTCACTGAAGACAGTGGTGGATGTGTCGCTCAATTTCGTGGATTAGTTGAAGTTAGACATTAACACTGTTGGATGCCTGCTCAGTGGTCTAGTGGCTAAATGCTCGCGCGCGAAACCGGTAGGTCCTGGGATTCGAATCCCGCGGGGTGCAGGATCGTGGGTGCACACTGCTGAGGGGTCCCATACTAGGACGTCCAGTGCTTCCAGGTTTTCCATGGTGGTCTAGCTTCAAATGACTCATGATTTCAACAAGTGAAATTTCTAAATATCTCGACAAAACCCATTGTGATTTGATTTTTACTTTTATTTAACAATTGTAAATAGTTAAAAAGGAAGCTTAAAATAAATGGATTTCATATTATTCTACCTTATTTATTGTATCTGGCTTTATTTAAAATCATTATCTAATGAGTATATGCATAGATATGCACAATATTTGTGTAACACCGTTTGATATATATTATATAATTTTTTGGTGTAGATTACTTATATCCATATAAGTACTATATAACGATGGTCAGGTTTAGAATGTATTTCAGTAGAAGATCAATAAGGAAAAAACGAAAACGGAACGCAATTGGTATGAAAATGCATGAATAATGAAATCTGAGACAATCGACTGATATTTACAAAAAGAACAGTGAAATTTGAGACGATGGATTAATATTTTGCAAATTAACTATTTACTACATGGTTCTCCGATTTTATTGAGATGCTCTGTAATGTCGTGTCAAATACGTTCGATTGTTCCCACATGTGTTCTTGTCCACTACAATTCTACATTACCATAATATTGTTATTATTCATTCTAATAAATTTTTTCCTCTTTTCACAGGAAATTGATGGAATAAAAGTTTGTCAAGAACAAATTAAAAATATTATAAATCGTGCTACAGCACAATTAAGGTAAGCTATTCATTCAATTATTGATAATTCATTATTATTTTATTTGTATTCAATAGTGACTACTTACAAGTAGATCGGATTTTTTCATTAATCAAAGAGATGTTATCCTTTATTATAACGAATAATTTATTATTCAAATCTAACAAAGTATTGAAATGTTTTACTAAATTACTATGTTGAAATTGTTTTCATCTATTTCAAGGTATTTTTTTCATGAGCTGACGTTAACATTTTTTTGTGTACTGGACTATCCAATTTATGTATAACCATAGTTTCATACTAAGTTAAATCATCCAACAGTAGATTTATCAGTCAAGATGAATCTGTTCAGCCAATAAATCGATATTCTGTCGTTTAGATTAATATCATGAATGGATCTATGTTAGATCACCATTGAAAACCTGAAAGCACTGGATGGCTGTCTCATCTTAGTATGGGACACCTTAGCAGTTTGTACCTACGATCCCACATGCGGGACTCGAACACATGACTTTAAAAAACTTCACCCCTAGACAACTGAGTCGTCATCCAACGATGTTGATGTCTAACTTCAACCAACTCATGATATTGTGCGACCATATGCCATTGCCTTCAGTGAGTAACTGTCTCACAATAGATACGGTCAATTCGCTAAATAATATGACCAATAATGCAGTTTATTCACTAATATTAACTAGTTTCCAAATGGATTTAACGAAAGTTGTTAACTTAAAATGTTGTTGAAATGTACATTTATCTTACATAGATTCGTTCATAAAGACCATTTTCTTTTAAACACCAGGCTCATCATAATCTAATGATAATTTGTGTCTATTGTTATAGACATTTGATTTTACTTCATGGTTATAAATTGTACGGGTTACTTAATATACTTTTCAATAGTGTAGAACTATTTTCCGTTACGACAAAATTACCGACTTTTTTCAAAGTCAAATTATGTTTGTTCTCATTATCTATAATGAGTTGAAGGCCTGATCACATGTCTTTCCGGTCGCATAAAACCAACTACATACCTTTTGGGAGCAAATAGGTTTCGAAGCTGAGAGAGTATATATCCACCTCAGTCAGTGGAAGATTGTCGGACAATATTGTGAATCGATCTAAGTTAAGCACATACATCGGAGATACAAAGCGCTCTACGAGACCAAGGGCCCTGGATTCGATACGCGTCGTGGACATGAATGCACACTGCTAATAAAGTCCTATACTGAGGCAAAATAACTGGCCAGCGCTTCCTAGATTTCAGTGATGTTGGAAGTAAGATCATTTTGTTGTGCAAACTATGAGATTACATTCTGTTGATCAACAAAGAAAGCCATTAGCATGGGGTTAAGGCTGCTTTACTACTTTTGAGATAAAACAAACAGTTTCGACTTCATATTTACACAATTGTAGGTTTTCAAAAAGAAAGTTAATTATTTTATTATAAAACAAAAGCCTCCGAAACTTTGTTCTTGTTGGACTAGTAACGATAAACAACATATTCCATATAAATTTAATGTTTGTTATATGAAGACTTACTGAGCAACAATGTATATTCTGAACATATGAACGTTTTTGAGAGTATTAATGATAATTTCAGGATATTAAACATGCTATTCGTCTCCTCAGTCATATTTTCTCCTTTCTATAATAATTTCCCATAATCAGTTGGTCATTCAGTCAGTCAGTCAGTGATAAACAACTCAGAACCTAACATGCATGTACATCGGTTCAAGTTGGTACAACATGTCAACGTGTCGAGAATAAATTATCAAGAATAATATCGAATAATTGAAATTATCAGAAATATCGGGGGTAATAGGAACGATTTAGTATAAAAAGTATAAATCTAGAAGAAGGAATATAGTCGTCAAATAAAAAAGTTTTTAAACTCAATATCTAAGGAAATATAAACAGTAAAGTCATTTATGCCACTGTGGCTGATTTTGAATTGTGACCTTCAATATATTCAATAATAAGTTACGATAATCTTGAGAGTCTCGATCAGGTTACATGAACTTTTCTAAATGATTTAGTCTAACAGCAAGTGACTTTATTTACTGACCAATACCAAGTTTTCGTCTGGCCACCTCTTATTTCTTTTCAACCTATTCTGGCACATTATAGGTGTTCTCATAAAAACGTTTATTTACTACAAAAGACCGATGATCATTTTTATTTCATTAATACATGTATACATCATAAAACATCCTGTTAAAAGACAAAAATACAGTATTCCACCATTTTAATTTATAATATAATTAATATTTTACGATGGAGAACAAAAAAAAACTACTTATCGATTATGGTTGCTATTGGTGATATCATTTGATCTACTGAAGTTCTTGCCTTCTTTTCTCCAATTTTGTTGTTGTGAAATAATATGAACGCGTTTCTCTTCTACTCTCTTTCTTTCTCTAAACCAAACAAGCAGTTTACATTTATTTTATCATATTAGTAATAAATTATCTCCTATATATGCATATGCATGTATGGTTATGATACACTAAACTGTAATGGGGTACCAATAAATAAGTTATACAGACGTAGATGTCATTATGATAGATAAACTTGAGAGAAATTACAAAAGAAAAGAATAAAAGGTAATAAACTACTCAGTTTAATTTATACACACAATTAAAATAAATTTTATGCAATCAGAATAGATATATACTAATTATGAATGCCCGTCAGTCAATCGTAATCAATTTAGAGCTTGGAACAAATGTGCTTTAGCTTAAGTTCTCATACCAGATTAGGACGACGAGTTGAAGTTAGCCATATGAATATATGGCTTGAAAGGGTTAAATGTAAAGTTTTGTCTGGAGGAATACTGGAACTCAAGATCCAGAGGAAGATAAAGAGAGTGTTTGTGCACCACTGCAACGATTTATGGGCCATGTCACTCAACATCCTCAGCTAAGTAGTCTACATCTACCCACGTAGTTCAGAACAGCAGCCAGTAACCTCGTGACTTAATACCACATTTCGGTTTGACCGCCCTTAGCTTTCTTTCAACTTACCCTTACACCAACTAACATCGGTCATTGAGGTAGGTGGTGGTTGGACATTTCTCAACCATCTCAGTTACTGGTAGTTTCTAACCGCGTTAACCGATTTACTCCCTTTATCTAGTACAGTGCGTCTAATCTCAGACTTGCTTAAACTGTCTTTCGATAATACGTGAGCAATGCTTTCAAAATACCTGTGATCGAAATCGCGCTGCCCACACATATATTCTTTCAAGCCCTCATTTTATAAACAGAATACTGTAGAGCTGATAGTTACACAGTATACTACCCTTTGTTTGGAAGGGGACTATCTTTTCTACGCCGTATGTGATATAAGTTAGCAGTAGCAACTAGTATTTCTGAATTCGTGCCAAAATTTCGTCATTCATCAACCCATCAAGGCTGATGAAATTTCAAAGATAATTGTGATGATCGACAAACTCAATTTAGTAAGTCCATGTCACTAAAATTGGCACCGATACAGGCCACTTCTTAGGCAACATTTTGTATTTATTTAAAAACTGATCTACATCATCACCTAGATTCATCATGTTGAGTGAAATAATTGATTATATTGATCAATTGCAATGTTTAATATATCTTATAAGTAAGATTGGGGAAGATTTCAGGAAATTAATAGGGTCCTGGGTTAAAAGGAAAAAAAGAACTATTAAGCTCTTATATATATGTGTGTTGATATGATCGATGTTAATTTCTACAACCATAAAATTGTCCAAAATTCATTATCATTAATCTATTTATATCTATCAAAAATACACAAAATTATTATGTTTAGATTGTTTCTGTTCAATAGTAACTAGATATTCATATCTAGATACAAGAAGAGTAATTTTCAAATAAATCATATTAATCTTTTTTTGTTGTTGTTGTTGAGGTGGTGGTGGTTGTAAACTTATTAAAATTCAAATGAATTCGAAGTTATATTAGAAAAAAATTTTTTTTTCTCACAAAATCAATTAGTTTTATATTTTATTTCATATTATTTCTCATTAAAAACAAAACAAAACAAAAACAAAAAATAATAAAATCATTAAATTCTCTTTGAACTTCTTTGATCTTCCCGTTGCCATAGGAACCCATTTGTTTTTTGCCATCTCATAAGATTTTCACGTTTACTATCATATATTTCAATAGTTCGATTCATTGTTGAAGATTAAATTTTATGATTAGTAAAGAATACCTCATGTTTATTACTAGATATATGTTATTTTTTGGTTATAATATGTATGTAACATTTTATTTTCGGTGGTGGGTGGGAGGTTATTAAGTTCATTTATGTTGCTTAGCTACAATTATAGCATTAAAAGTTGACAATGAAGAAGAGCAAAGAATTACAAATTTCCTGTTGAAATATTGAGTGTTTTTTCTTCATTATTGTTAACTATTCCAAATTCATTCATTCAAGTGATGATATGTTGAAATAAGTCTATTTTGATTCTTTTCTACTTGAAGAAAAACAAATAGGTATTTTTCAATGAATAGAAATGATGTAATTCGTGTGAATATGAAATGCATGTTTTATGGTACTTATAATATTTCTAAATTAAAAGTAGATTTTTACCTCACGCTGATGACTTGAAACTGAATTGCTGGGTACTGTGCAAGTAGAATAAGAGAAAGTTATCATGGGCGACAAACTAAGGACATAAGTTAAGTTCATAAAGTTACTTATTGTTAAACTAGCTCGTATATGCAGGTCTAGATCTATGCAACAGTTCAAGATATGATGCTTGATGTTGACAGATGTGGTCTGAAATGCATCGGAGTAACCCAGTTACATTCATTCCTTATCTTTCTTTAAATATTGGAATAGTTTTTATCCCATTTTTTTATTCTTTACTTTTCGTCTGTCTGATTTGGATTACTGTCTTTAAAGAGCCTGTATTGTTTATGTAGCGCACAAAATTATCGAATTATGGGATTATTGTCTCAGAATAATTATAATATATCAGTTTTATCATGCTGATAATCAAAAGTCAGAGAAAACTATGAAATCCCCATAAAAGTTACAAACAAACAGACGTTTCATTGTGTAACTAGGAATAGAAAATTGATTGATTAGATTCAATACTTCATCTAGTACTTAATTTGACACTGATGTTTTCATGATTATAGAAACCTACAATGAATGATAACTATATACGGCATTTATTCTAATTGTCATATATCAATTAAACAAAATTGTACTGTCTATTTTAACCAGGCTAAGAAGTTTATAATGAATAATATTTAGCATATAAACGTTAAATTCACTTGATAAAAAATGTCATTGAACCATTGGTTAGATTAAAAAGATTATGTCTTATTTATGGCTAACTGAAATCCTTTGATATAAACACTTTTGACTTAATTCATTTTGTATTCGTAGCTTGCATCTTCCCATTAATGTTTAGGATAATAGTTGATCAGTCTCTTATTGTTATATGTGCATCTTGTGAAAATTGTCTCGATACTGATCACCTGAAGTCTTAAACATCAGTGGGAAGATTCAAATAACCAATACAAAAATGAAGTAAACTTTATACTTAGCACAAGCTAACGGTTATCTAGACTCAGTATCTAAGTGGATAACGCGATATGATATTGGGTTTTAGTCTCAGATTGAACATCAACTCTGGTTATTAGGTACATCCAGCTGATGAGTCACAAATAGGACAACATGCGTTTCCTGGATTCCACCTCTAGCCACCATACATCTCTACTTTTGATCAAATTTAAAATGAACAGTGTTTTATAATATCTATTAACAATTTTTAGCAAGGTTCGTTTTTACGAGATAAGGTTGTTAATCTTATGTCTAACCATCCTACATTATCTAGGATTGAGACAGGTAGTAACCCCAGAAGGTGACAAGATAGAGGTACAATATTTTTTTTACATGAATTCCTAACTAAAGGCGTTATTTTGGTATTGATAAAGGAAGAACGCACAGATTGATACAAATTTATTGGAATTTAATAGTATCAAAATTTTAGATTATATTAAACTAATAATAAATTAATTATGATTGAAATTGTTTCCACCATTGTACGTTCCATGGTGTTGTTCTGATACTTCAGTCGTTTTAGCACTTAAGGAATTCCTTAACTAGGATTGCTGTTTTAGAAACTACCGAATAACTCAATGGTTGACGGACACAAATAAAGCATTTAGTTGACATTACAGACTGACCTTATTCTGACTAGTATTGAAAATCAGGAACCAATAAACAGCTGCTTTATCCTAGTATGGAACTCTTCAACAACATACATCCACAACCTCATCATAGATCATTTGGTGAGCATTTAATCTTAAGAGTACTAAGTTGGGATTCACTTGGTTTACATTTTAAATTACAATCAACTAATAATATTGTACTACCATCTCCCAGTGGTTGCGGTGTTTAAATACCTCACACTCAACATGGTTAAATTACATTTATTACGATTGCTCAATAGAATTCCAAAAATTACCACCGGAAATCAGACATTAGTTAGTTGTTCAGTACTTCATAATTTTTCAAATGTTTGTCTAACTTCTCTCAACCCATAATGTAAAGTATCAAATTTAACAATCTTTACAACGCTTTCCTATAGTAATAGCAACTGAATAAATTGTTTTTATATACTTTCATTAAGATTAAACAATATTCTACTCTAAATTATGTGGGAACATGTATTTATATATTCAGGATGAAACTTATTACTATTCCTTTATTTACACTGTAAGAAATATCTAGTCATTTTGTGTCTCAGTAAATAAAATCTACAAAACTAATATTGTTCTTCAATACTAAAAGTTTATTCCAGTGACGGAATAACAGAAGGAACTGTCACTAAAAATAATGTACTTTTGACTATTTCTAACATTCTTGTTCATTTACCATCACATCAATAGATTATGACTCATATTTTTGTGTGATATATATATAAAGAGAATTTACTGAACTAACACTATCTGAAGAAGGGGTTTTTTGGAGATTGTAGTAATTTCAACAGTTGAGATCATGAGTCAATTGAAGCTAGACCACCATGGAAAACCTGGAAGCACTGAACGGCGGTTTCGTCATATTGTGGGACTCCTCGTTAGTGCGCATCCACGACCCCGCCTCGCGGGATTCGAAGAGTTATTTTCGACCAGATAACACTCGATATTCGTTTTGCTCTAGTCTTAGATTCATTTTCATAATGGATTTGAACTGTCATGTGAATAGGGAGTCTCTGGGTAGTTAGCATGAAGATGAAACGGTTTTACAATAGTTACATAGAGACAACGGCTCCCCAGCTGTTAATGATTTAAATCGAAGGCTGCTGAGAATATCTTTGCACACAGGTCCCTGTGAAAAATACACAAAATGATGATAAAGAATTTATCGTTATAATCGTATGCACAATTAAAATAGTTGGAACAGTCAAACACATCCCACTTTAATTGTATTTTTTATGTTACTTGTAGTTTGTGAGTAGTCAAAAAGTGAAGCAAAATATTGACTATTAATTCGACATATCCAACACCAATAAATGACACTATTTTCGGTCACATAAATGTCGTGTGCCACAGTATTGTCCACCTCCACCCAGAAATTAGACAGAATTCACAGTCACCCTTCAGATTTGATGATGATTTGTTGATCAGAACTCTCCTTGGTATGCAAAAAACCAGTTTTGATTAAACACAAGTTTCGTTTTCCGATGAGTGGGGAATGCTGGAGTAAAAGGCAGCATACTATTTAAAGTGAAAAATGGATTGATAAAACTGTACATCTTTATTGTCTTAGGTGTTTGCAACACTTATTACATATAAAGAGCCACTGTCTAGCTCGATTTGTGATGATGGCCGGTATAGAAGTAAGTTGAAAGATATGGGCAACCAAACCACTGTGTATCAATCTATGTAGTCACTGACAGTTGATCAGAGTCATGTAAATGGCATCAAATTATCTTGTTAGAGTCTGCATGAATAACGTAATCAATTATTGAAGACGATGAATGATATGACTCTGAATTGATTGCACTGGACCAGATGTATTCGCTCATTTTCTTCGTCCAAACTCTGAGTTTCAAAATCAACTTGCACTATTTAATTCCATGGATTCATTCTATCTCCTCATATCATATATTTCACCCCCAATCATTTCTATCACAAGTGACATTGTTAATAAATCTACTCCATATTGTTTTTCTTGATAATTTTATCTTGCTGTATTGATGTGATGTGACAACCTGAACTGATGCAAATATGTGTCAGGCTCTGTGTTATTTCTGACTAACTAACCGACTGACTATGGCAGATTGTTATCCAAGAGAGGAAACATAAAGTCTGAGGATACAAATAACTAACGTATTAATAACATTTTATTGTAATTTCACATACTTATCTTTCAATCATTTTCTCAATGTAACTAGTTAATTTCTTCTTCCAGTTTATGTCGTAGTGTTCAACATGAATTAGAACAAGATAGTTCAGATAAATTTAGGGCATTACAATTGGATCAATTAGCTCATCAATTACGTAATTCATCGGCTAATATTGCATTATATGGTGATATTGAGAAATTAGAAAAATGGTAAGTGAAAAAGATATTAAAAAATAAATTATTATTACCCTATGTTTCATAGAATAAACTTTTTCAAGAAAAAATTTCTATACAATTTTATTGTGTGATAAGCTTTAAATCCGTCAGATAACCATAATGAATGTGGTATCTGTTAACTATGTGTATCTACCCAGCCAACGGAAATTACTAAGTAAATGACAACTAATTCAACTGTGATAGATTACAATCTGAGTCGGAAAATCTTACCATTCCTTTTTTTCTCTTTTCTATACTTAAGTCTTTCTATCATAAATATTACTATAGATACTACCTTGATAATTTTATCTCACTGTGCTAATGTGGTTTGACAACTTGAACCAATCAACATGTGTCAAGTTCTACGTTGCAAATGACTAACTAAGTGAATGAATATGCCATTGTTCGTTAAGCTAGAAGAAAATTATCCGGAATCTCACTTATCGTTCCCTTCCCCTTTGTCTATGGGAGCGTCTGTTTTAATGTATCAACTACTCTTCCTGATTAATCGTTTAACTGAAGATGGCATGGAGGCAAATGAATATGCTTTACGGTTAATTTGGAGATGAATCCTTAGGATATAGATGAAATGGACCATATTCCTTATCAGTTTGATTTCTATGTTGTATTTGTTCAAGATTGGTATAATTTAATGGACCATTGAAGACCAAAGAGTACTGGATAACTCTTTTGTTCTAGTATGGAGTTCCTAAATAGAACACATCGACAATTCTACTGTCCCTGTTTTTTCTAATGGTTAGGCGTTTGCCATGAGACATGAAGACACTGGGTTCAACTTTTATGGAAGTTATATGTCCCCACTATTGAGTCCAGTTGTAGGGCAAATTGCCCATCCACTGTTATCTTGTCTTCAATGGTACCCGTAATGTGACCGATAAAACTTAAATCTTGAATTAATTTTCAAATGTTTCTAGATAAATACATTACGTATGATCTTTTGTTTTAATTTATTTCGTTGTCAATACAGTTAAGCAATTTGTAGTGTATTGTGAATTGTAAGCAGTTCATTGTAAACTGTAATGTAATAACAATTATATTAGACTTATTTTCACATTTAAGTACATATATATGTGACCTCTATCCTCATATATTTGAATATTTAGGATGAGTGTACCGGAAAAATGGGCTGAACACACAAGTGCTAATTTAAAACGTTCCCAAGCTGAACGTGCAGCAAGTCGATCTATTCGTGAAGCAATTGAACATTGTTTAGGAGCAACATTCAGTAGAATACGTGATTTATGGTCTTCAACTAATGCATGTTTATCTCAACGTATACAAGAAACAATGGAAGCTAAGAATAGAATACAAGTTCAATTAGAGAAAGTATGTTAATTATCATCTTTTGTCGCTTCTATACTACTGTAAATACTAAAAATAGAAAAAAACACTATTAAATTATAAAACATTCATAATTTCTAAGGTATTTAACTAATTAAATTACTATACTATCGTCATGACTATCGTCTAAATTCATTAACACTATTTCTGCTAACAAACTTTTTAAGTAATTAAGATTATGCTTTAAAATTTTACTCATCTTATAAATTGCTGGTTAAATACCTCCATTAGTATTACGATTTATATACTGTTGAGGTTAAAACAGAGACTGTTGAAAACAACTGAAGTACAAAGGCTGGTGTACATGACTATGTATATTGAACTATATATATATATATATATATATATATATATATATATATATATATATATATATATATATATATATATCCCTTATTGACAATCAACCACACATGAAAAAAAGTGAAGAGATGGACTTTCAGGAGAGCTTTTATATTTCAAGAAAGAACAATGAGATTAGTATATGTGTCAATATTATAAGACGACGAAGCCAATCAGAACAATTGAAGACTAATGATATTGTCATGTTATGAATGTTATGATGATATAGGAGTGTGATAAGGCTCAATCAATATAAACACGTCATAATAATACTGGTTCGGGTTGACTGTAACAACTAGTTCCATATCTTAACATTAAAAAGGAGTGATATTACCAATTTTACCATCTTTCATCTTTAAGGAGAGCATGCCTCAATACACACTGACCAGTAAGCTGATGAGTATACAAATAACAACCATTCTTCAGACCCATATATATTTTAGAAGGTTGTGCGTTTATTTCTCAGTATCACAATAAAAATCTTCATTACTAACTGAAATCACATGAATACTGACGAATACTTTACATCTGTTTCCACCTACTTTTAAATTTTCAGTATGCTGTTCTCACGAGTTCAGCTAAATAGCAGTGAACACCATACGTTTAGATGAATTTTTAAGAACCCAATGGTATACATTTTCATCGTCATCATCATCAGTAATAACTGTTATGCTCCCTGGTTTTTGACGATGTGTTAACTGATATCGATCCTTCTTGAAAGTCGATTCCAAATTAAATCAGTCCTCAAAAAAACTATAAACCAAATATCATTGTTGATTTGAACCTTTACAGACACACAAACACTACTAGTTAAGTTAGCTTCAAATATTGAATATATATGTATATTATTGAATACAAGCACTATATAATTACGATTGGCATCAGATAGAGTATATTGATATAGTTTCTTTCACAGAACAATTGAATGACTCATTCTATAAAGTGACTAGTTCTCATTAACAAGAAGACAGTTGACATTGAATCGATCTTGTTGGTTCATGAAAATTGTCAAATCTATAAATAAATCTTGTTCTAGAGTATTAGTGGTTTTTATTCTAAGCATACAGTATATCTCAATAGTTTTCTTTTAAAAAATGGTATTCTAAGCTGAATTTCTTTTTAATACCTAATATGAATTTGGTAATTTATTTATATGTATGAATACGTCGACTCAAATCTGTTGTGAAGAAATGATGACATTAGTCGATCACTAAACAGTGACGAATATCATATTTGTCTAGTTCTTAGTGTTGATCATATTTTACTGATCAATTTACTTTGTGATCTAAGTGATTTGTCATCGTTTGCACTATGTTACGATGCTAGATAATGTAAGTTCGAATCCAACTGATGGCATTAGTTCTTTCAAGATTGTAGGTAAGCGCTGGGTCAAAAATCATCTAAACAACATTTTTTTAAAATCATTTTTGAATAAACACAGATTTGAGTCTCGTAAAGAACTTATGGTACATCAAAGTGTTTTGGAGTTTTTATTGACTTCTCTAAGCTAGATGGTTTAGTTGCGAAGCTTTTATTACCGTTTTAGACAATATCATCAGCTCTTACTTCATGTAGAAATGGGCTTCATAGTTATTTCATTTATAACTATCAGCTTATTCTGATTGTCTTGTTTATTGTCGTCATAGATTTCATTGCTTTTATTTTTCTCTTGTATTGAAGTTGACTGTGTTTGTTCCGTTGAGTTCTGACCATATTGTTGACTGACCGTTCTCGAATAAGTTGATAGATTGAGTTTATTTTGATATATCTTTTGATTGTTAGTTGGTTTGAATGTTATGCTTTTAGAGACTCCCTGTTTTCCTAATCGGATTTTTGTCCATGTTTGTCTATTTGCATCAATATCAATGATAATTTATCGTGTTATTATACTAGTAGTCAATACTCGTGTATGCGTACGTGTAAAGGTCGTCCATTTTCTCCGAGGTCGTTTTATCATAATCAGTTAAGTTGTTTCATTGTTTGTTTTTGTTTTTTTGCATTGATCTATCTATAATTTCCATGAATCGATGAACGTATTATTAACTATGTTAATGGTTGATATCAATCAGTAATTCTTTATACTCATCTCAAAACAATTAGTTGTAATTATTTTGCACTTGTATATAATTACCGATTAATTGTTGAAATATTCAATGTCTTAAGTTTAAACTCATCCAATTACAATGGTTAAGATCATGGGTCAGTTGAAGCGAGACCACCATGGAAAACCTGGAAGCACTAGACGGCCGTTCCGTCCTATTGTGGGACTCCTCAGCAGTGCGCATCCACGACCTCGCCCCCTGCGAGGTTCGAACCCAGGACCTACTGGTTTCCTATTACATTTTTTCTTGTTCAGATCATTGAATTTTGTATTTTATACTGTTTCTGTTCATCACTTCTCTTTCTATCTCTCTCTATCTTGTTTTCTTTAAACATTATTTTAGATTAATCAAGAATTATTTGATGTTGAAAAGAATATGGAATATTTAAAAAGATGTATAGCTGATAAACAAGCACCATTGAAAGTGGCTAGAACAAGATTGGATTTACGTAATCGACGTCCAAATATTGAACTATGTCATGATGATCCACATGAAAGGTAATCATGTTTTATAAAGAGTGAATTTTGTAAATTAGTAACAGTTTACCAAACATGTAATTGAAGAGAACACATTTGTTTGTTCGATGAGAACAAGTAAACTAGTAGATATACATTCAAATGGTCCGATACCGTTGTTTGTCTTTATTGCATTCTTGGATTATTAAGATTGAGTTCAGATGGAATATGATTGTAAAGACTAGAAAATTATCTTTTGACTACATTAAGAGCAAAATTCTGTCCATTTGTATTACAGCTTGTATAATCCAGTAGATATCTGATACAAAGATTTATTAAGAATAAAGTACAGCTTCAGGCCACTTTATTATGGATTTACTAGTTTACTTGTTCTTTTGAAGTATGTTGTAGTGATTACATGAATCGTACAATTTCCAAAAGTATGTCCGTAAACCGATTTGTGTAGTTATCCAAAAGTTAATTCAAATCAATCAATCAACATGTAAGTTCAATTACTCTGATTTATTATACATAAAGAACTAAACCTAAGTTCTATGTTAATTGAAGAAGCTTATGCTTTCCGTGTGAGTAAATAGTAGTAAGTAGTTTAAAAGTCTATAACCGTTAGGATGAACTATGTAGGCAGGTACAGATTACCAGATTAGGTTTCTCACAATTATCATAACCAACTGATTAAAACAATCAGTGACATAACTCAGAATCGATGATAATAGCTCAGTTGCAATCACTCATTATTTATATTAGGTGTTGAATTTTAAAATTATCTTATACTTTTTATTCCGTGAATTCATTATTTCCTCTGGAATCATATCACTTATGCTTCGTCTTTTCAACTATCGCTGTTATGATTACTACATCTAATACTCTGATATTTGTCACTGATGATTTACCTTTCTTTTTCGATGATTTGTTATGGCAACTCGAACAAATACACATACTTACCAAGTTTTGCAAGGATTATAATTTTTGTGATTGAGATCGTGGACCGATTGATGTTATACCACCACTGAAAACCTGGAAGCACTGGACGGCCGTTTAGTCCTATTGTTGAACTCCTCAGCAATGCACATCCACGACTCCTCTCGCTGGGTTCGTGCTCACTAGTGACTAGCTTCTTCAAAAGATTCTCAGAGTTCTAGTAAGAAGCCGAGATCAGTAAAGCTAATCCGTGTCGGGCAGAGAGAGGTATCTACCTCAGTACAATGAGAGATGGTCGAGCGATTTCGTGTATTTGTTGAAGTTAGACATTAACACCTTTGGATGCCGATCAGCTCAGTGGTCTAGAGGTTAAGTGTTCGCGCGCGAGATCACAGGCCATATGCTTGAATCCCACGGGTTTGGATCGCGGATGCTCACTGCTGAAGAGTCCAACAATAGAATGAAACGGTCTTTCATTTCTTCCAGGTTTTTAACGGTAGTCTAACATCAATCAGTTCACGATCTCAATCAAATACTTACTAATCTCCACAACCTCATACTGATAAGGATTATAACTGATTGATTTCATATGTTATTTATAATTTACATTTATGAAAACTATAAAATCTGTTTTATTATTAAGCTGAATATACATGATTCATTCAATTGACTTATTCAACGTATACTAATCATTCGTTCTAGTTTGAACTCGTTTTCTTATAATAATAAAATAGTCAGGATATAGTTCTCTAAGTTATTGTTTTCTCTGTTCTGATATTAGAATCGAATAAACTTTGACAACTAATACTAAATCAAATGTTAATTGTTATGAATATAATAATAATAATGATGCTAGTTTGAACATGATTTTCATGGAATTACTTTTCTAATTATCTTAGCAAGCATATAGAACAATTTTGTTATGAAGTTCTTTCTTTTTAATAAGAATAATAAATAATAGTCTATGTCGTTTAGAAAACCAGAATTTATGTGAGATTAAAGGTTTGGCTTTTAGTGTTCAGTACAGTATTCACAATCTAGGTGTTGTACCCCGATCTGAATAATGAATGGTAATTTTTGGGATCCATTTATGGAACAATACTATGAGTACATTTTTATCGTTTAATTGTTATGTAACTAAACTGTTCATATTCATGTCTCTGTTATTATGAGTTTTATTTTGATCTATGAACTATTTATTATACGATTTACCATTCTTGAATTATTCCCTGTCTGTTGATCACTACCTCCCTCATTCACAGTCACTTTTGGCCAAATATTGTACAAATGTTATTTTCTATTTTATAGTGTGATGTGGTCTGTTTGATTTGTATATAAACCCAGTATGTTTGAAATACATGATTCATATCACGGAGGCTGAGATTGGTGTTCTGGACTCAACTGGCTGGGCTAAGCAGAAAGCAGGACCAATCAGGACTCTAGGCTGTCCGCACGTGTTTTGCGCGTCACTGGTTCGGTCGATAATTCACTGCTCCCTAATTGGCGATATCATAACTTATCCATTAGCAGGGCACTCAGGCCACAAGTTATAGCACTATGTGCACTTTACTATTCAGTAAGTGAATGAGTACTGGATATGAGAATGTAATTTTCACTGAAAATTTCATTTTAAGATTTAACCTTCATTATTCCAGTATTTGTCATCCACCAAGTTGATACGCTCTACACTGGTTCATTCATAGCAGACCGATGTAGATAACTATGAATAATTGATCTGAAGTGAACATAACAATCCTGTGTGACACTTATCTAATAAATGAATAAAAATAGGTTACGGGTATTGTATACTTATTGAATAATGAAAACAGTATAGATAAGCATACATAATCAAGAACAGTGACTAAATCAAATGTTAGGAAATCTGTCTAGAATGATTATTCTTAATAACGATTAGTCAATTATTTTGGTAATAATAATATTGAAGTTCGTTATATTTATTTGATGGTTATCAGTAAAATTCAATATATCCATTTTGTTTCATTTGAAACTCCATGAGGGGTAATAGGCCTAAGTAAGTTAGTCGGACTCACCTGCATCTTTTAGTGTTGCCTTTCGTATTGAAACTCAAACCCTGTATCTTTCTCTTCCGATCCAGATATATTGTCCACTATGCTACTGAGTTTATTTAGCCACTAGCCTGTTTAAGGGATATAAATTTATTAGTAATGGTTAATAGTTTTCGCTTACTGAAATATAGGACTGTAATTAATCAATCGCTATTGTTATGCTTACTGTCTAATCTGACTGTTCCTGTTTATAATTTTTATCAAAAGTTTTAGTATGTGCATAAAATTTGTGTCTTAGATTTTATTGTCATTTCACAATCTAAATGTGTGTTATGACTTGTGGTCGTGTGCCCTATTAATATACAACGTAATGACACCGCCAATTAAAGAACAGGGGCTTATCGACCGGATCAATGGCGAGTTAACCCATACGAGCTGTCTAGAGTCCTTATTGGTCCTTCTTCCTGCCTAGCCCTGCCTGTTGAGTCCAGAACACCAATCTCAGCCACCATGATATGAATCATGTGTTTCAAACATACTGGGTTTATATACAAATCAAACAGACCACATCACACTATAAAATAGAAAATAACATTTGTACAAGATCTTGCTAAATGTGGCTGTGAATGTGGGAGACTGTAATTAATAGACTGGGTATAACGCAAGAACCGTAGATCGTATCATAATAATCTATTGGTCAAAATAAAGCTTATAATAAGAGAAACATGAACAAATAGTTAGTGGATCGATCTACATCAGTTAGTTTTGTAATGCCAATATCGTTATTGAATATTTGACCGTACAAATACATATATTTAAAAATAACATTATCCAACATGGAATACCTTCTTATTTAATAACATATTGTCTTGCCGAGAGTTGTTGCTACCTTGACGCGTTGGTCGGGCTTGCCTACCGTGATGAAGCAACCGAGCTATACTGGCTGAAACAACCGTTCCCCAAGGTCCTACCATGTCAGACAGGTCAGTTGAAGAGCGGTGAGACTAAAAGCAACAAACCTAAGGTCCGAAGGCGAAGTCTTACTGCCGACTGTACAAGGGTGTGACAGCAGTAAGGTGTTTCCTTCAGACAACCAGCATGACAGCGATGCTTTCTTCCCACAAGGAGGAGTGGGGTCAGAAAAGGTCGACCCTAGAAACGCACTCCTCGCCTTATCCCACGGATATCCGTCTCCGATGGTAAGGTCTCAACAAGTACGGAGCTAACACAAAAATTAACCATTAAAAGGTCGTGTGTGACCGACCTCAAGCAGTTGTCTCTTGGGCACTGCGGTCACGTTCCCAGGTCACTAAGACCACCTCTAATCCAATTTCCTTTCCAGGTACCTCCAGAAGAACCCTTCCTCGGTGTGGGCAACCGGGAAGTGATAACCGCCCTCATACCTCTAACAGCACTCAAGATCACTGTATTCATAATCAACCTCCGTCTTTACTTCCCATTATTCCTCCTACATCGACTTTCACCTCTAAACTTACTTTTTTGGCTTCCCCCTCAAGTGTCACCACAGCCAATGATTCTAGTGCTCAAAACACTGTCTCAGGTCTACTGAAACCTCGCTCCAAACCACACATTGGAGCCTTCAACGTACGCGCTCTATGTCAAATCGGTCAACAGGCTTCCCTGGCTAGAACCCTAGAATCTCGTACCATTGATGTATACTGTGTCTCTGAAACACGCATACAGGATCCCAGTGTGGTCATTCACTTGACCTCACCACGGCAACAAGGAGAGCCAACGAGATACACCCTCCGTGTATCTGGTGACGCGATGGTCAGCTCTCGTGGACTGGCAGGAGTAGGCATAGCACTAAGCATGAGGGCGGAACAAGCACTGTTAGAGTGGATCCCCGTTAACAGTCGTTTATGTGCTGTTCGGCTAAACGGCTCCGTAAGAACTCGGAAGGATAGGGACACACGTCGTTGCCTTTTCGTCGTTTCTGCCTACGCTCCCACCGACTGCAGCTCAGATGAAGTGAAAGATGAATTTTACAGAAAGCTATCTGAACTTCTTCAGAAATGATGTATGGCAACTTGGACCGATGCATGTATGTGCCTG